CAGGCAACGCCGGCGTGACTCAGCCCCGGCCCGCCCGCGTCTCTCGCAGTTCTGGGAGGTGATCAGTGACGAGCATGGCATCGATCCTACCGGCACGTACCACGGGGACAGCGATCTGCAGCTGGAGCGGATCAACGTGTACTACAATGAGGCCACTGGTGAGACCCCGCGCCCCTTGCCCACCTCCCTTCCGCGCCGCGGCCGCCCTTGCGCTGACTCCTTTCTGCCCCCTTAGGTGGCAAGTACGTGCCCCGCGCTGTGCTCGTGGACCTGGAGCCGGGCACCATGGACTCCGTGCGCTCGGGGCCCTTCGGGCAGATCTTCAGGCCAGACAACTTCGTTTTTGGTGAGCCGCGGGCACGGGGTTGGGTAGTAGTCTGTTAGTAAGGACGCCTCAAAGGTCAAGGGGCACCCAAGGTCACCGGCTTCAGAACCTCAGAGCCAAGGTCCTGATCCATTCTACCTAGAGCAGAAGCTGGGGCTCCTGGCAGGATACTCTCCTCCCCCTTGGAGTCACTCAATCCTTCCTCTAAAGCAGCTTTGGGAGGAAGGCCCAGCTGTCCGCCGGAGGGGAAGGAGCGAGCGGCAGATGTAATCTCCCTGACTGCAGCAGAGGCTCATCTGTCCTTGGGAGTTGGCAGGGGCTGCCCGTGGGAGGGGCTGGCTTATTGCTAAGCCGCATCAGCTCAACTCCTAATTTAATTTTTAACTAGGCAAGTTGCTAGTTGCTACCTTGTTTGAGATGTGTCTGTCTTGTCTGTAGGGTGAGCTGCGGATGTCGCTTCGCCCCGTTTGGCTTTTTTGGCTCAGTGGTCAGCATTACCATGATCACACGTGTGACTAACGAGTGACTGGCTTCCTTTTTTCAGGTCAGAGTGGTGCTGGGAACAACTGGGCTAAGGGGCACTACACAGAAGGCGCGGAACTGGTGGACTCGGTGCTGGACGTCGTGAGAAAGGAGGCCGAGAGCTGCGACTGCCTGCAGGGCTTCCAGCTGACCCACTCCCTGGGTGGGGGGACTGGGTCTGGGATGGGCACCCTCCTCATCAGCAAGATCAGGGAGGAGTACCCCGACCGCATCATGAACACCTTCAGTGTGGTGCCCTCGCCCAAGGTGTCGGACACCGTGGTGGAGCCCTACAACGCCACCCTCTCCGTCCACCAGCTGGTGGAGAACACGGATGAGACCTACTGCATCGACAACGAGGCCCTCTACGACATCTGCTTCAGAACCCTCAAGTTGACCACACCCACTTATGGCGACCTGAACCACCTGGTGTCGGCCACCATGAGCGGGGTCACCACCTGCCTGCGCTTCCCGGGCCAGCTCAACGCCGACCTGCGCAAGCTGGCTGTGAACATGGTGCCCTTCCCACGCCTGCACTTCTTCATGCCCGGCTTCGCGCCGCTCACCAGCCGGGGCAGCCAGCAGTACCGCGCCCTGACAGTGCCCGAGCTCACTCAGCAGATGTTCGACGCCAAGAACATGATGGCCGCCTGTGACCCCCGCCATGGCCGCTACCTGACGGTGGCCGCCGTGTTCCGGGGCCGCATGTCCATGAAGGAGGTGGATGAGCAGATGCTGAACGTGCAGAACAAGAACAGCAGCTACTTCGTGGAGTGGATCCCCAACAACGTGAAGACGGCCGTGTGCGACATCCCGCCACGCGGGCTCAAGATGTCCGCCACCTTCATCGGCAACAGCACGGCCATCCAGGAGCTGTTCAAGCGCATCTCGGAGCAGTTCACGGCCATGTTCCGGCGCAAGGCCTTCCTGCACTGGTACACGGGCGAGGGCATGGACGAGATGGAGTTCACCGAGGCCGAGAGCAACATGAACGACCTGGTGTCCGAGTACCAGCAGTACCAGGACGCCACGGCCGAGGAGGAGGGCGAGTTCGAGGAGGAGGCGGAGGAGGAGGTGGCCTAGGGCTGTCTGGGACGGGAAGCGCGGAGGCCATGAGAACTCTTTATTCACTCCCAGCCTGTCCCGATAGCCAGTCTCGCTGTGTGCACCTGCTCTTCTCCCTGTCTCGACATCACAGCTGTACAGACATCACCATTAAAGCATTTTCATAGTGTCCGGTTTCTCCTCTGCAGTTCCTTCTGGTAGGCCTCACGGGTACTGTTCCCAAAGGTCAGTGCGAAGTTGTCCTGCATGGCTGCGGGGACACAGCCGCAGCTGACTTCGTGTGCTCGCCCTGCGTGAGCGGCCGCTGGGGGCTTGGCACAGCTGCATGTACAGCTGTGGACCTGGGCACCTGTCCCCAGAGGCAGCTGGTTTATCTGGCCCGTAGAGCTAGGGGTTTTTGGCCCCTTCCATCGTGGGGAAGCGGGGGCACCCTACCTCAAGGGGACCCCCAGGACATGGAGCTGGTCCTGTGCCAGCAGTGCAGCATGAGTAAGGGGCCCAGCACCTGCTCCTTTGTGCTGTGGGAGGTCCCTGTACTCACATGGTATGAAGCCCATGTAGAAGGGTACCAGGCCCCGGCTGTTGTAGATGGTGGTGCTGGGCCAGTGTGTTTGGGGCAGCCTCTCGCCCAGGGCACAGACGGGGTTTCTAAACAGGAACTGGAGAGACAGGTGCTGACATGTGCTGCTTCCACCAGGTGACTCGCAGCGAAACGTCTCAGGGTGGGGCAGGCGTTCCCACAGGTAGTTAGCGCTCTGGGATGTCTGCCCTTCCCTGCGAAGCTTTCCAGCGGGGAGCACAGACCTGGTCTGAGGAACGGGGTTGGGGGTGGGGTGGGGTGGAGTGCAACCTCCCTGGGAAAGGGTTGGGCAGAGCCCCCCACGCAAACCATGCTGGGCAGCGTCGGTACCTGGTTCTTGTCAAACTCGTCCATGGCCTGTGTGACTCCATCGCGGTAATTCATCCCCATGACCCAGGCAAACCGGGGGATGAAGCCAGCATAGCCTGAGAGGAAGCGGTCAAGGTGCCACCCCAGGTCTCTGCCACCCACCTGCTCCCAGGGGTGTCCAGGAAGCTTGTCTGGGGTCTTTCCTCTAAATGGGCAGAACGTGTTGGGGCCAGAAGGGAGTGGGCGAGCAAGCACTCCTAGCCCCAGGGAAGCTGGGCCCCAGAAGGGAAGGGCCTGTGGGCAGCCTCCTCACCTGCTTTCACCCTCATCCTTCCCAGGCCCCTGGTGCCTTGGGGATATGGGTGTCCCAATCCCACCCCAGGCCCCCACCTGAGATGGCCTTGCGCTGGATCATGTTTGGGTGATCCAGCTGGGGCAGCCTGTGGAACCTGCTCACATCTAGTGTCTCTTGCCAGTGGGCTGTGGGTGGGCGCTGGTCCCTCCTGCAGTGGTACAGCTGGGTAGGGAGGGGCAAGTCACCATTCCACCCCTTCCTGGGTCTGGCTGGTGGGGCTCAGCCCAGCGATCCCAATGTCTCTCTCACCTGATACTGTCCAGGGGCCTTGTGGACAGGCGTGCTCTTCCAGCCCTCCTCCCCGTATGCCAGCCGCAGGCCCGGGTGCCCGAAGCCCCTGGAGTCCCCCTTTCTGCCTGGCGGGCACGGGGGGTAGGGGTAGAAGGGCATGAAGCCTGCAGGCAGGGAGACCTGCTTGGATGTGTTCTCTACCCCTGGCAGCCCCTCAGCATCCACCTCCTGGGGGGAGAACTGGCCCAGGTTCTCAAAGTTTTTGTAGGGCTTCAGACCTGTAGGGACAAGGCAGCCATGAGTGACAGTGAGAGGGAGGTAGGGGCTGGGTGGTGAGTAGTGGGTGGCAACCCACCTGTGTAGTGGGGGATGTAGGGCTCTGTGAGGTCGCGGCAGGGAATCAGGGGTGGCTTGGACTCGCTGAAGTCCTCGATGAACTTGGGCTTGGTAAGGGGGGACAGCACGGAGCACGGGCTCTTGAGCACACTGGGGTCTGTGAGCAGCTGTGCCGTGGTGCGCCCGTAGGTCTTCCCAACCTGGTAGCGCAGCTGCGGATAGAAGCCTGCATAGCTGCAGAGGAAGGGCGCAGGCAGGGACGGTGGGCGAAGGCAGCACTCCTACCAGAGGGTGCAGGTCCAGCCTGCTAGCCCCAGGCCACGCACCTCACCTCTCCGCAGGATGAGGTGCAGCAGCAGCTGCCTCTGAGGCTTGAACAGGAGCACAGGCCAAGTGCTGGAACAGGCCTGGTCCTCGGAAGTGAGCTCCCCTGTCACCACTACCATGAGGCTGCCACCCCCCTCTCCCAGCTATCCGACAACGGGGGGCTTAAAGATCATGGGGCAGAACTGCCCAGTGGAAACATTTTTAAGGATGGCGACAGGGCCCGAGACCCGAGACATCCATCATACATAAGCTGGCACCACTGGGAAGCCTTGGCAGGGATCTGGCTCGGACCTCCGCTACCCCGGACACTAGCATCCCGCTGAGTGGGTCCAGGACTTAAGCAGCAGCAAGAGAGCAACTGGTAGGAAGTGATGGTCAAGCTGAGTGTCTGTCATTTAGCCACGTGGGGAGCGGTGTGGACGTCATGCGAGGCCCCCGTGGGGAGGTGGGGTTCACAGCTGTGCAGCATCCTCCACCCCACCTTGTCCCCAGGACCGTTGTGAACTTAAACCTGGTGCCTCGCCACCTCCTCCCTCGTCCACGAGGCTGTGTGTGTGCGCGCGCACCCTCCGTGCACGGCCCATTTTATTTCATATGGGGGGCTACCTCGTAAAGTGGCCTGGCATCCGTCTTTAAAGTGTGCAACACTCTATGGAGTGAGCGTCCAGTGTTTTTTCCAGCAGCCTCCGCCAGGGGCTGGGCTGTCCCCAGTAGGTTTTCTGCTCTCGACATGATGCCTCCCTGGCCCTCGACACCCTGCTCCAGCTCTCCAGCCCGAGGCCCCTCAGCCATGGGGCCTCGGCCCCCTCCCTGGAGACAAGCTCTGGCCTTGAGCTTCCAAGTCCCGGCCTCTCCCATCCCCCTCCACCACAGTCCCCATTGGGTCCTCTGCTCACCCAGGGATATAATGAGGCTCTGGCGTGAAGAGGTCGTGTTTCTGAGTAGTTGTCATCTTGCTTCAAGTCCGCCTTTGCTGGCTGCAGCCCCCCCTCATCGAGCTCCCTTCCTTGAGAGGGGCCCTGTTGCCTGGCAACCATTGTGAAGAGGCCCCATTGTTGGGCATCACCTGGGCCAGGCCCGTCCTTGACCCCGTGAGTGCTCTGGGTGGGACACTGAGGCCCAGACGGGCAACTGGCTGGGAGGTGTGACATTGAGGACTTCAGAGCTCAGAAAATCGAAACTGTTGCTGTAGCCGAGGCGGCCTTGCAGGGAAGTGGGGGGCAGGATTGAACCTGGACTTGTTACCCCTCGGAGGCCAGCAGACCCTCAGGGTGAGGCTAAGGGAGACTGCACCCACTCCAGGTCCCCTCCGCAGCCCACAGGCTGTGGAAGCTTCAGAGGAACCGTCACAAGCCTCAGCAGGCCCTTCCCCTGGAGCTGGGCACTACTTTCCATTTTAAACAAATCCTGATTTTTTTTGGTAGGAAAGACTTCCTCACCATACAAAATATCATAAAGGAAAAGATTAGCAGGTTCAAGGACGTGGCAAAACACAGCATAAGCAATATGAAAAAATAGACTACGAAATGGGGACATTTTGCAACAAATATTACAAACAGATATGATATCAATCTAAAAACCTTACATGACAAAAAATATGAAAAATTACCACCCCAATAGAAAACTGCGTATATAATGTGAACATATTAAGGGGAAAACGTAGTCAATAAACACGGACAGAAGATTGAACCTTAATCGAATGCTGATGATGGCACTTTCTGACCCTTGTCGCCAGCAGGATGATGGTGAGAAGAACCTCTGCTCTGGTAGGTGCTGTCTGGAAAAGCAACTTGCGGATACAGGTCAAGTCCATACAAGATGTTCTGTACTGTGACCCATCGCTTCCACTTATGGGACTCTCTCAGGAAATGACCGACATTTAGCTGAAGACATATGTGCAGTGTCCCCCGTCATGACATTTGCTAGAGAGGAACCAGAGCCAACCCAAATGTTGAATGAGGGCCCTGTTAACAAAACGCTCCCAGAGAACATTCTGTAATGCGGAAGGGCCCCGGAGCACAGGCCCTGAGCCCCTCACCCTAGCAAAGCCTGCGTTTCCTCAAGCAAGTCTCTGTCCATCTGGAGTGCCTCCCAAGGCCAGGCTGTCAGTGCTGGGTGGGAAGGATCTGAACAGGGGCGGCTCAGCCAGGGAGGGGAGCACCAGGAGGCCCTGCCGGGTGGGCCCAGGTGGCTGCAGCTGGGGCTGGGGCTGGCGGGCGGGTCAGCTTCAGAGGGCATAGTGGGGGCCTGGGCTCAGAGGGGCTCCTGCTCACTTGGCTCATTGTTCTTTTGCACTTGGGCCCGGGCAGCCCCATCCATCTGTGACAACTGGCCTCTGTGCCCCCAAGCAGAAGAGAGGCTCCCACACCTCAGACCTGCCCAGGCCACCAGGCGCTTCAGAGCCAGGCCTGCCTCTGGGGTGGGCATGGTGCTCACAGATCCATCTGTGTTGCTTTGCTATTCTGAGGGCTGGGTTTCCAGCGGGGGGCGGGGGTCCTGCTCCTCCTGGGAGCCTCTCTGGACCTTCCACTGTATCCCACACTTCTTTCCAGCTGGCCCAGCACAGTTGGGTATCCCGTAGCGCACACTCTCTTTGCCCCCCTGTCGGGCGTCAGTCCTCCCAGATACCCTGCTAGAATGGGCCCCTGAAGTCCCAGCAAGGGGAGGAGTTGGGACAAGGAAAGGGAGGAAGGGGGAAAGGAGGCTAAGCCAGGAGTCACTGAGGCAGGCTAGGGGGTCCTGCGGGACAAGGTTGCCCAGGGTGACCCACCTGGCAGGTCAGGGGAGGGGCCCCTCTGGGGACCCCACTGCCCCAGGCCCTTCAGGGCTGGACAATGCCCCTCCCTTGGGAGTGCCAGCAACTAGGGGTGGGGGTGGGGTGGGGGCATGACTGGCCAGTGAGGTCACAGAGCCCTGCGGTGTCCTAGTGGAAGGCAGCCAGAGACCCTGATCATGAATTTTGACCAGAAGGCTGTGAAATTCCTGGCAAACTTTTACATCAATGGAGGCAAACACTGGACCCATGGCTCCCTGAGGCCGAAGTCGATTGTGCTTGCCCAGTAACCTTCTTGGGCGGTGGGCGGGTGGAGCGGGAAGCAGCCTGGATGGGGCGGCCAGCCGGCTGGGTATGTGTTGGCTCTCTGTCTCCCTTGCAGGCCCAAGACAGCTCTGATGTTGTCCGGCCCCGAGTCCACCTGGGACGAGATGTGGCCCCCAGCCATGCAGGAGTTCCCAGCACCCCTCAAGATGCACGTGAGCCCTCTCCAGGGCCCCTCGCAGATCTGCACCCGGAACCTGAAGGAGCTGTGTGAGTGGGGGTCCCTAGTCTGGTCTGGGGAGGTGGGACAGGGGCCGGAGGGGGCCTCCTGGGAGGATGCAGGCCCACAGCTTGCTTCCCACCAGGGCTGGAGCGTCGGCCCCCCATTGTGACCGACCTGGACGTCCCAGGCCCCACCAAGTACGAGGTGCTGGAAGCTTCGGTGCGGGAATCATCCCCGCACCCCCACTTCAGTATCGGCCGCAAGCCCCCGACCCGCGGTGCGTGCTCCTCCCTGCGCGCACCCCCTCCCCCGCCCTGTCGCCCGCGTCCTGGGAGTGGGGCCGCGCCTCCAGCCTTCCCTCTCCAACGACGCTGCACCCACTGCAGAGGGCGGTGGCCGCAGGGCATGGCAGACCGAGTGGTTACATAGTGAAAGCCCTTTTACACAGAAAGCCGACTTCAACCGCGAGCAACAGGTGGGGCGCTCGCCCAGTAAGTCCTGCGGGGACGGGGCCTGGAGAGAGGGGGTGGGCGGGGTCCGCGAGGGAGGGGAGGGGCTAGGTGGGAACGAGTGGGCGGGGCCTTGGGGAGGGGGAGGGGCCGAGGTGGGGCCTTGAGGGACCCGGCGGGTCCTGCAGCAGCATCCTCCCCAACAGTGGCCATCGCCCGCCGACTACCGTCCACTCAGCGGGCCCGCCTTACCCGCCTTCAGCTTCGGGGGACGCTGCCCCGCCTCCAAGATAGAGGAGGCACGCGCGTGCCCTGGGCTGCGGGACTGGGGTGCAGGTCGCCGTGCCCAACCCCTGCAGCAGGCCCGGGGCGGCGAGAAGCGCCCCAGCCCCAACACGT